TTCAGAATTAGAGGCCTAGCATTGACTTCCGAGTGAAATTTGCGATATTAGCATATAAACTTCCTTGTCAAGTCATTTTGACCCATAATATTCTGGCATATAATAGTAATAGTAATAATAATGATAATAATAATAATAATAATAACGATAATAATAACCTGTAGATCGTGTGGTCCCAATCTTAGGTACGACGCGGCCGTGGTCGGGAACAGGATGCTGCTAACGGAGGGTTGGACATGGCCCTTCACTTACTCGCCACGCGGCTGCGTGTACGACGCCACTCGTTGACCGTGGGGGAGAATGAGGGCGCGGGGTGAGGGAGGGTTGTGGACGGTGCGCTAGGCGTGGTGGTCGGCGGGACTTCCTCGTTGGCTGTCGCGTAGTACGCGGGGGGCGGGTGAGGCCTACGACCCCCCGACGGCGACGGACGGTGGCGAAGGTGGCTGGGGTTTGGGTTCGGGGAGCTGAGGATCGGCCGTTTGGGGCGTCGGGAGCGGAGTGAGTCGTGGGGGAGGAGGGGAGGTATTACGTGGTGGGGAGAGGATGGATGTGGGGGTGGAGGGTGGGTCGGCTGGAGGGGAGGGGAGGAGGGGGCGGTGGAGGGATTGAGTGGGAGGTGGTGAAAGGCCCAGGCTTTCGGTTTCGCCCTGCCGCCTCCACGTTCTCCATGTTTGGGCGGTTGGGGGAGCGCGAAGCAGAGAGAGTAGTGAGTTTTATCTTCTGGATCGTAGAGAAATTCGGACCGTCAAATCCTAGTAGAGACAACAAGGTCCGCCCCGCTGCATCACGATCGAATGCGCGCCGTCGAATGGTTTTGGATTTCAATCAATTTCATGCGTGTCGTTATCGGATCCCCAAGAAATTCAAACATATCTGCCGTGTATTTGTGTCACACAACCTTCAGTGCGTGTGTGCTGCTTGAGAGTGATGACGAACGAAATTCAAGGCTCCCACCCCAACACGCGGCATATGCGGTGACGCCGTATTGTAAAGGAGGGGGGGAAACCGTCTCGGGTTCTACCGAAACCAAATGAGCAACCTCTTTTTTTTGTGCCAGCGAACTAATTCTCAGGCAACAGTTGATGTATCGCTTGTTCAAGATGATCGACAGGCTGAATTGTTTTTCTCGGAGAAGGGGGTGGGACGTTTCTCGTGTTCTGGAGAGTATTGTTGTTGTGGTATTGTCGAGTGTTGGGAGTGAGGGTTTTGGATTTCGTTCTCTTGAGTTTTGTGATTGATGAATATATATATATATATATATATATATATATATTTTTTTTTTTTTGATATTATCGTGATAATCAGCTGTGATTGTCGCGTAAGTCAAATTATACATGCAAGTTCCCTTAATATTTTTAGGAAGGTTGTGAATCTTTTTAACTAGTACAAGCTTGATCTGAGGCGAGCTCAATTGAAAAAAAAAAAAACAAAAAAACAAAACCAAAACAAACTACAAATGCCCCCAAACTCGAGCATCATTTTACTCACGACACGCTAGAGGAGAAGTTTCACATCGCCACGTTTGTTCCTTGAGACATGTAGCATTTGAAAATTTTATGCTGGGGATTTAAGAATGTACAAATGAGGAAGTTGTTGTCTTTCAATATCCATTTTTCTCTCCCTTGACTATATCTTAATTTGTAACTTACGTTTGTAATGGATCAGCATATGACAAAGAGGCGATCATACGTATCCCTTGGGAGAGTGACTTTTAAGGCTTTGCGAGGGCCCCTTACTACCGATCTTGATTAAATTTCATCTTATTATTTTGGGAAAATTGTGTCAAAGACCCCAAAAGTAAAATTTTGATGTGTTGCAGCCCCTTCACTTTTTTCCCATGTGGTTCAGTCCCAATAAATGTCACATCATGTGTTGTAGCCCTTTTTTCATGTAATTATCATGTCAACTAAGCACAAAGAGAGAGGAATAAACATAAAAGTCCAAAATACCCTCGTTTTCTCCTCCCTCTTCGTTCTCTCCAGATCTATCATGTTAGTTTCAGTGTGATTCATGTTAAGTCTAATTTAATTCCTTTTAAGTCTAATTTAAATCATGTTAAGTCTAATTTAAATCATGTTAAGTCTAATTTAATTAACATGTTTTTAAGTCTAATTTTATGTTAAGTCTAATTTGATTTATATTAAGTCTAGTTTGATTCATGTTAAGTCTAATTTAATTCATTTTAAGTTCAATTTAAATCATGTTATGTCTAATTCAATTTATTTTAAGTTTAAAAATAAGTTGAATTAGACTTAACATGAATCATGTTAAGTCTATTTCAATTTATTTTAAGTCTAATTTCATGTTAAGTCCAATTTTACTTCATGTTAAGGCCAATTTGATTCTTGTTTAAATCTAATTTAATTATTTTTAAGTCTAATTTCATGTTAAGTTCAACTTGATTCGTGTTAAGTGTAAATTCAGTTCATGTTAAGTCTAATAACAGTTCATGTTAGGTTTAATTTTATGTTAAGTCCAACTTGATCCGTGTTAAGTCTAAATTCAGTTCATGTAAGGTCTAATTTCACGTTAAGTCCAACTTGATTCGTGATAAGTCTAAATTCAGTCTATGTTAAGTCTAATAATAGTTCATGTTAGGTCTAATTTCAATCATGTTAAATTCCTTTTAAGTCTAATTTAAATCATGTTAAGTCTAATTCAACTTTTTAAAGTCTAATTTCATGTTAAATCCATTTAAATTAGACTTAAAACAAGTTAAATTAGACATAACATGATTTAAATTAGACTTAAAAGAATTTAAAAAAAGACTTAACATGAATCAAATTAGACTTAACATGAAATTAGACTTAAAACAAGTTAAATTAAACTAACGCGAATTAAATTAGACTTGAAACAAGTTGAATTAGACATAACATGATTTAAATTAGACTTAAAAGGAATTAAAATTAGACATAACATGATTTAAATTAGACTTAAAAGGAATTAAATTAGACTTAACATGAATTAAATTGAACTTAATTTAGACTTAAAAGGAATTAAATTAGACTTAACATGAATTAAATTGAACTTAACATGAAATTAGACTTTCTTGTTAAGTCTAATTCAACTTACTTTTAGATTTAACATGAAAGGATAGATGAGATAAGAGCATTTTGTGGTTTTTATTTTTTATGCTCTCTCTCTCTATATACTTAGTTGACATTTAATAATTGCTAAAGAAGGGCTGCAGAACATAGATCTCCAATTTAATTAAGTGCTGAACCACATAGAAAAAAAGTCAAAGGGGCCACAACACACCAAGATTAATTTGCTTTTACGGCATTGACACAATTGTCCCTATTATTTTCTTAGAAGAGTATAATTTAACCATTGTTTTCTAATTAATTTTTTTTACAAATAATGACATCTAAAAGAAAATGACGGGGAGAGAGCGAGAAGTAATTGTCACTCATAATTGTTACTTGTTAGGCCAGCTAACGTGTGGACTGAGAATGAGTTGATGTGATGAATTGTTGAACATACAGGGAATAAGTAAAGAGTCTTTTTCCATGAATCCGGCATCAATGTAGTTTGGGCTTCGGCTATTTTTATCTTCGGATGTGAGCTCATCATATCATATATCATATATCATATCCCTTATGGGCACATCGTTATCAAAGTTCAATTACTACCGTACTAAACTCTTAATTTCCTACGAAAACTTTGATTAATATTTCATTATATTTAGTCAGTACGTCTACAAGACAACTTTATTTAATTAAAAAACCACCAAAAAACCTTGCTTGTTTTCCTCGTTCTCCCAGAATCCAAGGTTCCAATTACATTACTCAACTAAACGAAGTATGAATTAATTAAAATATATAATCCCACCGCAAAATCATTTCTCATTACGAAAGGCAGATTCAGATAGAGACTTTCCAGATAATTTTTTATTAATTAGTTGTTTTGCGTAAATTAGTTCAGGAGGTAATGTTTATATCGTTTTTGTTCACTTTCTAAAGGGCGACATTTGAGTTACAACATCCACCGTAATTTTAGAGTTTTGATGCAATAAGATATGTCGATAATAATCTAACTCCAAATTACACCGGATACGCATTCGGGGTGGATTTAAGAAGTTGTTGTGGAACAAAATAGTCAAACTTTCTGCACACGAGCAAAACACATCTAATACATGAAGTAAATTTTCAAGGGGGGAAAAACAGTTAGCTGTTAGCCCTTACATCTTCTAAACTAAAATACGACATCATTTTCTAAAAGATTACAATGTCATGTGTGGATCATATGTTAATAAATTACATTTTCCTCTCAATTTAACAATATGAAAAAAAGTGACTAAAACTAAATCGAGAGCACTCTATTAATATTAAGAAGAAAGTGCAAGAGATATAAACGGCTACGCCATCAAAGTACAAGGGGTTATCTGCAATCGAACCTCGTTCTAGATGCGATGGGTCCCCAACTGATTTGGAAATCTTTTGAAGGCACAATCATTACACATACAAGGAGGTGGACTTTGGCAAATTATTAGATTAAAGCATAGCATGGTGCATTAACTTTATCAGCCTAGTGGAGTGTGAATCAGACCAACGAAAAATTACTCCAGCTCTTCTTAGGGTGGGTCTACAGCAAGATTGGGCCTTGCTCAATCCTGTTCCGTTCTAAACTGCTTCTTTCGGTGAATCGGCCCACTGGTCTCCAACGCACTTAGTTTAGGGCTATTTTCGGCCTGGCAAAGATTACGTCGATGTTGGGCCCATTGTTCTCCAAACACAACTTTATCTAAACAGGCCCTTTGTTTTTTTAATTGAAGCCCATATTTTTTTTTTGAGGAGTTGCCCATAACGTATTGTGGGCCTCGTATGTAAATAAATACATTGATCATCTCGGAGCGGGGTTTTCATCCTATATCAACTCGGAAAAGGAACTAGTTTACTATTTGGTTTCCGAACAGTAATAGAAATCATGAACGCATGGCATGGTTTTGTTATATATACGTTCACAAGAGGACGCAGATGAAAGTTGCCAGCATATTTGAGTAGGCTATAGACACACGGATGAAGTCGATACGGGTCTGGAAGCGCAACATCCGAAAAGAGCTCGACCGCATGTCGAGAATTCTTGCGGAGTCGTCGTCCTCTACCTACGTCGCGATGGACACGGAGTTCCCGGGTTTCCTGTACCGCACCCCTTTCGGGGCGTCGGAGGAGCGGCGGTACCGCGACATGAGGAGGAACGTGGACGCGATGAAGATCATCCAGCTGGGCCTGACGTTCTACGACCACGAAGGCGTGTTCAAGGGGTCGTGGGAGGTTAATTTTAGGGAGTTTGATCCCGCGGCCGACCCCCACGAGAGCTCCGTCCAGCTGTTGCTGGACAGCGGGATGGATTTCGATGAAAATAAGCGTGACGGAGCGTGCGCCTCCTGCTTCGCTAGGTCGTTCTACCGGAGGGTGCTTCTGCCTTACCGCCACAGGATCAAGTGGATTACCTTCCACGGGTTGTACGACGTGGGCTACGCCGTCAAGCTGTTGATGGGAAGGCCGCTTCCGGAGGGGAGACGCCGGTTCTTATGCAGGGTTCAGAATGTGCTGGGGAGCGTTTATGACGTGAAGTACATGATGGCGTGTCGCGGATTTAATCAGAGGATGGGGCTGGTGAAGCTGGCCGAGGAGCTCGATGTGGTCGGTGCTGCTGAAGGCCGAAACCACCAGGCTGGGTACGATAGCCTGATAACGGCCTTGTCGTTCTTGAAACTGAGAAGGGATGGTATGGTCGAAGACAAGGCTGCCGGCATCTTTTACGGCTTACATCGATGCGGCCTACGGCGCATGCTAGGCCACTATACATGCATGTCGATGACTACTTAATTAGTAAACAGTTTTATATATATACAGCTTGTTATTATTTATTGTTTTTATTATTTCTTTTTCTCGGCCAATTAAGGTAGGTTTTTCGGACATAAATAATGGAAGTACGCATGAAGTAAAAAAAATTCGCATGCATCAGCGCGCGCACGTGCATGAGAATGCTGCTGCTTTCATTATCTGTAGGATGGAGAAGTAACAAAAAGGTTGTGGCAACCATAAATTAATTAAGCACTATTTTGGGTCTTTTCACACGGTTCTTTTAAAAGCAGCCGGGCTGCTAATTAATGTGATTTCTGGTTCCCCTGCGCCCCCAGCTGGCTTGATTTTCATTTTTTATTTTTTATAACACCTGTTTTTTTTTTCAACTGACTGAACCAGTGAACCCTATATCGCATACGCTTTTATATCGAAGAAACACGTACAGAAACAACGAAGAGGCTACCACAGAGTTATTTGGTTTATTGTGTTTGTCCAAACAACAAATTAACGAAGAGCTCAATGTCTATATTTCTGCTTAGCCTGTCTCTGGCTAACGCATACTCTTGTCTGTGTATACCAGAAGTGCTTTGATTCCTTCCCTTCTTGTCAGCAACATTGCTCATCTCGCGCCTATCTTCACTGATTTTCCTTCCCATATACCTTCAAAATAAACAGACAAAAATACATATCAAACAAGGAAAAAAAAAGATCTCTCTCTCTCGCTCACATTGATGCATGTCTGAACCAAAAGAAAATCAGATGGAGATTCATGTGAGCGGTAAGTGCATTCACCTGCCCATCATCATGAGAGTAGCCTGAGGATTGGTCCCCGGTGACACTGAGAATGTCGACCCGTCGATGACCCTGAGCCCCCGGTCCACCACCCTCCCTACCACGCACCCACAGTGATAATGCCATATCGTCGACACCGTCCTCCTGCAGAACTCTCCCATCACTGCATCGTCATCCCTGTTCGCTGGCAACGCAGCACCCACAAACCGAAACTCCCTCCTCCCGTCCCCGGACCACCACCCCATCGTCATCCTGAACTCCTCCATCGACCTTGCCGCCAGCACCTCCGCCACCTTCCTCATCCCCACGACGCACCGGTCCAAGTCCTCCTTGGTGGAGAAGTAGTTGAAACGGACAAGGGGGTTGTCACGGACGTTGAGGGTCGCTAGGCGGAGGCTGCCAACAGAGGTAGGGCCAGCGACCTTCTCAATGATGGTGGCAACGGTGAGGTGGATAGGAGAGGAGGCAGCAGGGAGGAAAGGGAAGCGAGGGGGACGGAAGGAGACGACATTGGAGGCGGCCTCAAGAAAGGTGCCGTTGTGGGTGATGCCGACTACCTGGATGAGCGAGTGCTCGAGAGGGACAGAGGGGATAATGGAGATGCCGTTGCGGGGGTTGTCATACATGAACTGGCCCACATTTGGGTGCTGGACTGCGATGGGGATGCCCCATGAAGAGAGGTGGGGGCGGGGACCAATCCCGCTGAGGAGGAGGAGCTGTGGGCTTCCAAGGGCGCCAGCAGAGAGGATGACTTCACCGCCTTGGCGAGTCATTGCGTGGTGGTGATGGCCACGACGGTCACCTGTTGAGGCTAACAGGTTACACTGAATCCAATATATCGAACATAATGTACAGTAACTACTGACTGCTTAACTACAATCAGCATGTTAAATTCTCTACCAGAGTTGCTATTAGTCAGTAGCCAAGGTATCCAACATGATTTCGAAATTAGAAATCAGGAATTAACAAAAATTTCACTGAATAAAAATTTATCGTCGACTATTTACAAAGTAGTTGTAATGACTACACAAAACTATAGATGGTGCAGACTTGGAATATTAATGTAGCCAATATATCCCAGTGATCGCTTGCGAAGTTTAGCAGGTCATAATGAGGCCAAGATATACTGCATACTGCATATTTACCACTACTAGCAGACCTAGTAGCAGTCAGCAGCCACAGGATATCCAACAGACATCCAAACTAGATAGAAATAATGAAAACATACTGAAGTAAAATCTTATCATCAACTGAAAATTTACAGATTTACTTGTAATAACTAAGTATCTGGTGACAAATAATCTTCAAAAGTAAGTTCAACCACACAAACACAGCAGACTTGCCCAAACACAACTATTCTAAATAAGACATCAAAAGTTACTTGTAAAAAGATAGAGAATATTTACTTGTAAAAAGATAGAGAATAAATCATACTTTCGAGGGACTAACAAATAAACCGTCAACTGAAGAATCGCAACGTACTTGTAATAACTACATAATAATAATGATACTTCAGAAATAAACCAGTGCCACAAGTTAGCTGAGCAGAGAATCCTCAAAAGTTTGTTGAAAGAGCCAAAATTATATCAAATTTGAACCCAAAGAAATATATTAAAATTAAATAAAAGAGAATCAATTTTAAGATATACTAACAAATAAACCGCCTAAGTTTCTAGTTCCATACAATTCTTCTGTACTGTTTCTAAATTAAAAAAAAAAACTTATGTGCTGAAATGTTATGCTGAAACGTAAAAGACAGTTTAGATAACAGCACATTGGTCTAATTAAATCTTTCAGTGCAAATATTATGTAGTAGGATGAAGAATGATAACGTAGATCACAGTACATAAATGTCTAAATGGTTTAAGCCTCACAACAATACCTGATGTTTTTCAAACAAGAAGGCAAGATATAATTGAAATTTACTTGTGATAACTACTTCATAGTAAAAAGATGTTAATGAATTACCCTCAGAAGTATGCTGGAAACGCCAAAATTACATCAAATTTCACTAAAAGAATATTTAAATAATACTCATAAAGATTGCTCCTGTCCAATTACTTATTTATTAACCAATTAATCATATGGTTGACCAATCAGAACGATAAGATTATGCAATTAATTCAACTCAGCCAACTGTTTTAGACTCAAACCCAAAGGGCCGAGCTTTCTAAATGGTGAAAAATGACAATGTAGGCCACAGCGCGTTGCCCAGTTTGGGGGCAAACCTGTGTCTCTATAAATGTTCCAAAACATTATCAAAACCCAACTGAAATGTAAGAAATCAATATCTTGACACGGTTCTATTCTACTAAAATCAAGAAAACAGAACAACGAACCCAATTAAAAAAAAAAAAAATCAAGAAAACCAACCTGAAGATAGACTTGAATTGAGCAAGATCCTCTCCACGCTAGCCCTAGTCGCCACCCTCAAATTCTCCGCGTTCGCCAATGCCAGCAAATCAGCAGCACTATGCCTCCTCCCGCTTGAATCGAAAGTAGATGCCCCAATCTTTGTCCCCTCCACGTGCCTCTCTGTAAACCCATTATACGGCGTTACATTGGCCTCGATCAATCCATCCCTCACTGCGGACTGCCAACTCTTCAGCTCCGGCCTAAACGCCACCGCCTTCTCCACCCAGTCGTAGGACTCTTCCACCATCTTCGGGTCCCACTCGACACCGGAAGCATTAAAGAACTCCCTGTGAGCCCGGCTGTAGAATCCGGCGTTGATCGCCGACGATCCGCCGAGGACTCTGCCGCGAGCGTTGGGGACGCCGTCGTCGGAGACGAAGGACTGGGCGGGGGAATCGAGGCTGTTGGCGGCAACCAGGGTTTGGAGGAATCCGTCCTGGGAGCTGAGGGAGGGGAACTCGTCGGGGGTCCCGCCGCGCTCGAGGAGGAGGACGTGGTGGCCGGCGGCGGAGAGGGTGGCAGCGAGAGGGCAGCCGATGGTCCCGATTATGATGTAGTCGTCGTCGTCCTCCGGCGGGTACAGGGTGGCGTCGAAGGTGAAGCGCGCGTAGCTGGGAGTGGTTCCCCCTGAAATCAAGAGATCAAGAAATCAAGAACAAGAATCGATTCTTAGGGTTAGGGTTTGGGGGACTGAGGATTACCTGGTTCCTGAGACGAAGAGAGGATCTGGGACAAGAAGATCGGGAGGAGGAGGAGGAAGAAAAGGGTTGATGAGGGTCTGATCGCCATTGTTTTCTTGAAATTAGGGTTTTTTCTTTGAGAATTTGGGGGAAATTTGGAACGTTTGCTTTTGTTTTTGTTTTGTTTTTTTTTTCTCACGAGCAAAAGAGAAAGGAGATGGGTGAGGAGTTGGTTTGAGAGCTTTAATTTGTAGAGAGGGAAATGGCGCCTTCGAGCGGAGTGAGGCTTTTGAGGAGAGCGGAGGGGTATTTTGGGGATTTATGGTTTTTGTTGGCGGTTATTAGTGGACACTGCTTAAAATTAACGCTTAATTACAGCTGGCTCCTGATTCGTCCACATAGACTTTGGGATTCCCAAGTGCGAACTTTAATTAATCATGACGTAATTGGGCTGCATACTGCACGTTAATGGATTTTCAATTCAATTTGTAAGGCCCGAATCTACCATGGGCTCAATAGGAGCGGGGGGGAAAAGACTGGACTACAAATATGTTAAATCTTTTTGTAGAGTTTGTTCTTGTTTGTAAGAGAAGTAAATTAAATTATGGAAGGATAAAAACCCTTCCTATTTTTCCATTAATTAATACAAACCTTCAGAAGATCACAGAGACTATATTAGAACAATTCAGTTTTAAATATCTCTCTCTCTCAATTCTTCTCCAATTCTTCTCCAGTAAGATATTTTTAAATAAATAATAAATATGAAGAAGATGATGAATATATTGAAACAAGGCCGTAGGTGTGACATGACCGAGATACTATCTTCACAGAGAGGTGGTTATCTCATCTAGGCATGTCCATCCGGGCCGGCCCGGACCCGGACCCGGGTACCCCGGGCCGGGCTCCGGGTCGGCCCGGATTTTTTTCAATTTTTTCCTTTTCTTTTTTTTATAAAAAATACTAAAAATTAGTTTAAATTTATTATATTTTACATAATTATGTATTAGTATATGCTTATAAATTATTATAAATTATTATGTAACTATATATTATATATACATATATTATATATATTATATATACATATATTATATATATTATATATACATATATTATATGTAAATATATTATATATATTTATAATCTATAACTTGAGAGAGAGAAAATCACATAAGTAGCTATTGTCCGTTGGGCCAATGGGGAAGAAGTAACCGTTGTAATATACTATGCTTATATACTAAGAGAGAGAGTATACACACACATATTATACATATATAAGAGAGAGTATACTTATATAAGAGGGAGTATACATATATAAGAGAGAGTATACCTTTATAAGAGGGAGTATACATATTATACATATATAAATAAGAGAGTGTATACCTATATATACTTATATAAGAGAGAGTATACATATATAAGAGAGAGTATATTTATATATACATATATACTAAGAGAGAGAGTATACACAAACACATATTATACATATATAAGATAGAGTATACTTATATATACATATATACTAAGAGAGAAAGAGAGTATATATATATACACACATATATTATACATATATAAGAGAGTGTATACTTATATATACTTATATAAGAGAGACTATACATATATAAGAGAGAGTATACTTATATATACATATATACTAAGAGAGAGAGTACACACACACACACACACATATTATATATATAAGAGAGAGTATACTTATATATACATATATACTAAGAGAGAGAGTATATACACACACACACACACATTATACATATATAAGAGAGAGTATACTTATATATACATATATACTAAAAGAGAGAGTATATATATATATACACACATATATTATACATATATAAGAGAGCTTGGCCCGGGTTTCCGGGCCGGGCCCGGACCGGCGGGCTTTTTGGACACCCCTAATCTCATCCATAACAACAGTGAGCAGGCACGTATATGTTTCTTATCAAAAAATTTCCATTTTTTCCCTGATGGATTATCAGAAAAAATATCATAAATAAATAATTTGATTTAACTTATAAGCGTAGTAATAGCTGAAAAACTTCTCATTCTGACAAAGAGTAGTGCTTTCAAGTATCATCAAACAAACGTTGATATCAATGCTAAATTGAAATATATAGCTCAGGGGTTATTTTATTCATAGATTTTTTTTTATCTTTCCTAAAATATATGTTGTACGCGGGAGGTCGATGGATGGAGGAATCTCACTGCTGCAGATGAGCTCCGTAGCGTTGGATCCTCTGATGAATCCTAGGCTCATGTAGCCAGGGAAACTGTCCCTTGGACTCCGTCTTCATGGGTCCTTAACCATCCCAGGAATTATTAAAAAAAAAAAAGCAGTTAGCAGGCTGGGATTTGGATATTGCATGAGATCCCATCTATTCTCTCAAATAAAGTAATATCCCTTAGACCTTTCATATTTGCAATGTACCCTTCTATTCTGCCACGTTGTATTTTCTAACCCTCCAACTTGACAATATTTGTTTCTAAATATGGAAATATCAAAATTTTCCAATAATCTGCGTTAGGCTTGGAATATTTTCCGTCTCAGAACTAAAACTCTCTAGTTGTGAAGGGGTAGAAAAACATGATATGAACTAAAACTCTCTAGTTGTGAGGGGGTAGAAAAACATGATATGAGAGAATCAGAGGGCAATTCCACAAATATCAAGATACGGAGGGTAAAGGTGCAAATATAGAAGGTTAGGGTGTATGCAAAAACCCCTTTAACAAAAAAGGTTACTTGCCTATTAGTCTCTTATATCTTTTCTGATTACCAAATAGTCCCTCAAATCTCATTATTTGCTTATTAGTCCCATAAATCTTTAGTTTTCTTGCATTATGGTCCTTCTGTTAGGATTCGTAGGGGGTGAAGGGAAGTTTTAGGAAAAAGCGTTAACTTCTCTAACTATAGTTGAGTTAATGCTTAACCTAACAACTCAAGTTACCTTATTACCCCTGGGGTATATGTTGCCCTTGTAAGTTTTGGGTTTAAAGTGAAGCTAGTCATGGGAATGACCTTGATTTTAGGTTTGGGGGAAGCATGTGACCATTGGTGAAGAAAGAAGGTGGATTTGGGTTGGTATAGGCAGGGGTATAATGGGTATTTTACCTAATTCCGTCACATTTAATGATCATTAATAACACCAACTAACACGAGGGACGGATTGGCAAAAAAGCTAAAGATTTAAGGGACTTATAAGCAAATAATGACATTTGAGGGATTAGTTGGCAATTTCAGATGATTTTAAGGGACCAATATGCAATTAACCCAAAAAAAAAGAAGGCCTTCGAACTGATCGTTCCATTGGACTAGCAAACCAAACACCCACCTTCCCAATTTAAACTCGCCCTCATTCCCTCTCTCATCATCTCTCCGCCGC